ATTCCCTTTAAATTTCTCAGTAAGAGAAGGGGAATACTAAAAGAATACACTTAGCCTGCTAGTCCTCAGATACTATCTTGGTATACCCCTAGTGCCTAGCCAGGCAACTAAAGAAGTCAAGCAAAAGAATACCCCCGGCATTACCTGGGTATTTCCAAGTACTCTCCCGTAGTCTTGCCCAAATATTCCCTGAGTACTTCCATAGTATTGCCTGCCCTAGTATGCTTTTGGTATGCTCCTAGTATTTCCTCATTCTTCCCCGAAGAAGGGGACTACTAGGTAGGGGAGCACCTTTAGTATTGCCTTAGTATAACTCTAGTATTCTCTTGGCGTACCCCTGACACCACCCCCCCCAGTACTCCCTTTAAACTGCTCAGTAAAAGAAACGAATACTAGGGGATTACCTTTAATATTGCCCTACAACAACCCTAGCATTTCCATCACTACCCTCCTACTATTCCCTTTAAACTGTCCAGGAAGAGCAGTGAAATACTAAGGGAGTACTCTTAGTCTAATAGTCCTAAAGTGTTATCTTAGTATACTCCTAGTATTCCCCGAATATTCCCCTAGTATTCTCATAGTATTCACCTTTAGTATTCCCTGAGTACTCCCCTATGGTCGCCCTAGCAAGGAAACTAACAGAACTCAGACAGGTTGAGCTTAAGAGTATCCCCTTAGTATTCCCTGAGCATTCCCCTAATATTCTCCCTTAGTATTCCCTTGACATTCCCAAAGTATTTCCATAGTATTGCCCTAGCATTCCCCTAGTACTGCCCTAATATTGTTTTAGTGTTGCCCTAATAAGAGACGAGGAATACTATGGGCATACCCTTAGAAAAACCTTGAGAAAACCAATATTTCTTGTAGAAAACCAAAAACCTCAAGAAACCGAATATTTCCTATAGAAAACCGAAAAAAGCACCTCGAGGAAACCAACAAAACCAAAAAACAACAAAAACAACAAAGATGTGAGGGAAATGTTTGGTACGACAGACTTGGTGGCACCCCAAAGCTCAAGAGATCTCAAACCGAAAAAACCTCGAGGAAACCAAAAAACAAAAACAAACATTCAGACAAATACTTCCGGCAAGTCTGCCATACCAAACATGTCCCTCATATCTTTGGTTTTGTTGGTGTTGCTTTGTTTTTTTGTTTGTTTTTTCGGTTTCCTCGAGGTTTTTTTCGGTTTTTTGGGATAGAGGCTTCCCGCAAAAAAAACCCAACGCTCAGGACATTGGCTTCTGGATGATTAATGGAAAAATGAAAAAGAAGGTTAATTATTATTCCAATAAAAAAATAAAACAAATATATAGTAATTATTATCAAACAAATCATAATTATTATCATTATCATTATCATTATAACCATAATTAATATCATTTTTGCATCCCTTTTGTAATTGTTTCTTATTTTTATATTATTTCATATTTTAGATATTTCAAAAATTATATCAAGTATAACTTAAAATATTAATAATAACAATTACTTTTTTGCTCAAAATGTAAAGAATACATAATAATAATTATCCTAATAATCGTTATTAAAATATTATAAATACAGAAAATTTAAAATATGTGTATATGTACATTTCAATTATTGTGTTGGGCAGAATCAAAGATTTGGGGTTGTTACGCTAAAGATGTTCAGGGTGTGTAATAACAATTATCACAATCATAAAAAACCATTGTTGGAGTCTATGGAGATCCTGCATGTCGAAGCGCTCTCGCTGTGGCGCCGTTCGGTTTTTCTGTTTTCTTTGGTTGCGAATCGGTGTTTGGACCAGAGGTCCGGCTGCAATATCGCAACTTCTAAGCGCAAAAGTAGTGCGCGCAATGCGCTTCGCAGCTCCGGCACGAAATTCGCAAGTTGCTAAGGATGCGTAATGACTATTATCATCATTGTTGCTGGAGATGCTGGGGGTGCGTAGTGATGGTCAACATCATCATGATCATCCCTGTTGAAGATGTGCAGTGACTAGAGATGCTATGGATGCCCAATGATGATTATCATCAGCGCTGTTGGAGATGTTGAGGCTGCGTGTTGATGATGATCATCATCATGATCATCGCTGCTAGGATGCGTAATGATGGTAATCATCATCTTGATAATCGCTGCTGGAGGTGCTATGGATGCATAGAGATAATTCTCACCTTAGTCTTTTTATTACTTCTGCGTGCCGCGCGCAGCGTAATTCAGTAGGCGTAACCTGCGCATGGACGCAAAAAGTCAACACGCCTGAAAAGACCAAGCCAAAGTGACAATTTCTATTAGCGCCTGAAGGTTGTTTTCTTCACCAGCCTGCGTACTCCTTTCTTTTGCCCGGGCCCCCATAGCAAAAAACCCAAGACCTATAGCCAAAGCTAGCTGCAGTAACAAACGAAAATAAACAAAAACACAATTAAACAATTAAAAAATAAAAGGAAATAAGAAAAAACTAGACCACGGTTGGCCCGAAAGCAGAACATCGCAAGCGAGGTCGGCCCAACGCTGCAGGATGCGTTCTTTTTCCCTACACTTCGTGAAGCAAGCGCGAGACAGCACCAGGCAAGGTGCTCTGCGCAAACTGGTCGGTGCAAGTTGGTCTGCGCAAGTTGCTCTACGCAAGTTGCACTGTGCAAGTTGCTCTGCGCAAGTTGCTCCGCGCAAGTTGCTCCGGCAAGTTGGTCCCTGCAAGTGGCTCCCTGCAAGTTGCTCTGTGCAAATTGCGCTCCCTGCAAGTTGCTCTGTGCAAGCTGCTCTGTGCAAGTTGCTCTGTGCAAGTTGCTCTGCGTAAGTTGCTCTGCGCAAGTTGCTCTAGGCAAGGCGCTCTGCGCAAACTGGTCGGTGCAAGTTGGTCTGCGCAAGTTGCTCTGTGCAACTTGCTCTGCGCAAGTTGCTCTGCGCAAGTTGCTGTAAAATGCAAGTTGCATCTTGCGACGCCCGCCCGCGGACCAGGGAGGAATCGAACCCGCGACCCGCCGGTTCCGGGAGCAGGCGCGCGAACCACGAGACAACTCCCGAGGACCAGTTCGAACAACAAAAGTCGCAAAAAACCTTGAGTTTTTGCACCTCGACCACGCCGATTCCCGCAGAGGGTTTTCGCAAAGCCATGGGTTTTTGCACCTCGACCACGCCGATCCCCGCAGAGGGTCGCGCGAGCAGGTTAGAAATCGCAAAAAACCATGGGTTTTTGCACCTCGACCACGCCGATCCCCGCAGAGGGTCGCGCGAGCAGGTTAGAAATCGCAAAAAACCATGGGTTTTTGCACCTCGACCACGCCGATCCCCGCAGAGGGTCGCGCGAGCACCGCAGAAATCGCAAAAAAAACCATGGGTTTTTGCACCTCGACCACGCCGATCCCCGCAGAGGGTCGCGCGAGCAGGTTAGAAATCGCAAAAAACCATGGGTTTTTGCACCTCGACCACGCCGATCCCCGCAGAGGGTCGCGCGAGCACCGCAGAAATCGCAAAAAACCATGGGTTTTTGCACCTCGACCACGCCGATCCCCGCAGAGGGTCGCGCGAGCAGGTTAGAAATCGCAAAAAACCATGGGTTTTTGCACCTCGACCACGCCGATCCCCGCAGAGGGTCGATTTTCGTGTAGTGTCGTCGGCACTACCCCGCCGCCCTAAGAAGAGATTTTAACTCCTCGCAAGTCAATTGCACTTGACTCCTTGCACTTGCAACTTGCACTTGACTCCTTGCTTGTTTCAAGGAGTCATTGCAAGCAGTCATTGCAAGGAGTCATTGCAAGGAGTCATTGCAAGGAGTCATGGCAAGGAGTCATTGCAGGAGTCATTGCAAGGAGTCATTGCAAGGAGTCATTGCAAGGAGTCATTGCAAGGAGTCATTGCAAGGAGTCATTGCAAGGAGTCATGAGAGCCATTGCAAGTTGCAAGGAGCCAAGTGCATGGAGTCAAGTGCAAGTCGCAAGTGCACGGAGTTAAGTGCAAGTTGCAAGTGCAAGGAGCCAAGTGCAAGGAGCCAAGTGCAAGGAGCCAAGTGCAAGGAGCCAAGTGCATGGAGTCAAGTGCAAGTTGCAAGTGCATGGAGTCAAGTTGCAAGTGCAAGGAGTCAAGTGCAAGTTGCAAGTGCAAGGAGTCAAGTGCAAGTTGCAATCCTTGCCATGACTCCTTGCAATGACTCCTTGCAATGACTCCTTGCAATGACTCCTTGCAATGACTCCTTGCAATGACTCCTTGCAATGACTCCTGACTCCTTGCAATGACTCCTTGCAATGACTCCTTGCAATGACTCCTTGCAATGACTCCTTGCAATGACTCCTTGCATTGACTTTCATGATGATGACTCCTTGCAATGACACCTTGTAATGACTCTCATGAGAACAATTCAAGTGAACCCAGCGGAAGAACCCTTCGCCATGCTTTCGGGAACAAAGAGAGAAAGATACATAACAACAAAGAAAACAAAGTAAAAGAAAGAGAAACAAAAAGGGAAAAGAGAGAGAAAAGATAAATATAGAGATAAACAAGAAGATCTTTTTTTAAAAAAGAAGAAAGAGCGAGAGAGTAAGAGAGGGACAGAGAAAAAGAAAGAGAGAGAGAGACAGAGAGAGACAAAGAAAAAGAAAAAGAGAGAGAGAGAGAGAGAAAGAGGAGAAATAGAAAAAGACAGAAAAACAGAGACAGAGACAGACAAATGACGAAAGGTCAAAATGACTTTTTGAAGAGGGGGGCAAGTTCAAGCAAGTAGGGCTTGCGCCGTGTGGGCAAGCGGACTGCCACAGGCATGGCTTCACTAATCACACGCGCGGGCCACAACGAAACAATCCCAAAACGCGTGCCAAAACTTCAGTGTCAAACCTTGTCCCGTGTCAAAACTAGAACAGTGTTTGACACAGTTTTGGCACGATGTCTTCTTGTTTTCAATTAAGTTTTGAGTTTTGACACAGTTTTGGCACAAGTGTTGACACGGCCATTTTTGGCACAAGTTTTTGCAAAATTGCAATTATTTGGTTTCCTTTTTATGTTCATTTAGCATTTGTTTTGACGCGCAACGGCTTTACTTGATTAAGCCTTGCCAAGAGTAAAGTTAGCACTGCCAAGGCGTAATCTTAGACTCCCAATACCTAGTTTAGTGCGGACACGACGTAATATTGCTGGCAACACTAAAACTAGGCCACGCCGCCACTAACGGCGCGGAGGAATTCACAATCCTGGCAAATGCCCAATCAGGATTTCTGGGCGTCAAACGATGGTGGCATTGGTTCCTGCGAGCAATCCGCAGCCATTTGGAAATTGCACAAGTACCGCCACATCTTGGGATGCAGCCCGCCTTTTTCTGCTTAGCATGACACAAGGTGGCAGCAACTTCTTCGCGTGTCGCCAACCTTTCAAAGATCCTGAGGCAAGGGAACACTCTTGGCAAACTGCAGCGAACAATGCCTCACAGAACTGAACGAATTGTGTGGCCAGTCATAATTACCAAGGTGACACGTGCTAGGGCATGTACAAATCCACTCTGCCTGCCTGACACTAAGGCAACCCCAAAAAAAAACAGCAAGCAGCTGAGTAATTTGTGCCCCGCACGTTATTACCCCACCCCAGCCCCCCAAAGTCATCGCTAAAACTAGCATTGCCATGCCACATGATAAACTTCTAGAAATTCGTTTGGTGTTGCCAAGACATAACCTGTTGCCAAGACATAATCTTAAATTGCCAGTGCTTCATTCAGCCTAAGCATTGCCAGGCTAATGTTTAATACTGCCAAGACTTAATCTGAGATTCCCAGTACTTGTCTTCGTGCTGCCAAGACTAAATTGGCTGTGGCTCAAATAAATGCACCAAACTGGCACCTTGGGAAATGGACCCAAAGACTAAAACCTGCGTAACCCTAGCTCTTCAATTTTGAGCCATACCCAATTCAGTATTGCTTAGCAGCTGAGCTGGGAAGGGCTTGGGCTAACCACCCTGTAAAAGTAAACGGTGCCCCCCCAAAAAAAGAAAGAAAGAAAACAACAAGAACATAACAAAAGAATCAAACAACAACATGCCATTAAAGCGGACCCAAAAAAGTCAAACTAAAGAGGAGCGCCTGTGCGGGCAACCCCCTTTGCGTGACGATTTGCGTGGTATCTCCTTTCTTTGCTATTCTTGCGGTCTGGCGCAGCCTGTCCTAATAGTAGCCTTTGGCTGGCAATGCCCACAGTTCTTTTCCTTGCGGGATTCTGGATGTGCAGTGTGAGGCCTCTGGTGGATACGCCAGGGCTTCCAGAACATATGTCTTTCATTCCCATGTTCCGTTTCAATCCAAGATCCCATGACTCAAACCAGCAGTCTCTTTGGTCGTCTAAGGTGGCTTTAATCAGCAAGTTCCCGTGAAGGGAATTGTTCTAACATTGTTACGTTTTGTGACTGCTTTCGTTACGGAAATGTTCAACTATCCAACTCATACATCTGTGAGCATCTATTGACATTTGTGCAGTTGTATAGGAAGCACGCGGTGGTTCGCCGCGACATCTGGCTCTATGCGCACAAGGCCCTTGAACCCAAATGAAAAGACATGCGCGACCAGCTGGTTCAACCCTGCACAGAGTTCACAAGGACACTCGTTCAGGACATCATCCAGGCGGCCGAGCGCGCCAACTGAAGGGTTGAAGTAAACCCTTTCGGCCCTACCTTCATTTGGAAGTACACGGCTTTCGGGCACAGCACGTGTACTCTGACCGGAGATCGGCTTCGCACTACGGAAAGGGAGCCGGTAGCCAATGCAGGCCGAGGAAGCGGATCCATGGAGATGGTCAGAGCTCGAAAGGTGGCTAAGCCTGAGGACCTAGGCGAGAAGGCAAAAGCTCAACTACATGCCTACATCCAAGGCCTTCAAGGGACCGGACGGGATTGCGAGCTGGTGGCAGAAAGAAGTGGGGATGTCTATTTCTGCGGAGGCAGACCATCCGGAGAAGAAAATGCGAGCACAAGGAGATCACCACGCGCAGTATTGGATTCGTCAAGATGGCGAGTTGCAAGAAGTGTGGTGTGGCGCTGAAGGAGCGAAAGGGCTGGGATGCCCTGAAGCTGAAGTGTCGGGACATGCGAAATGGTGATCGAGAAGGAGAAGCCGTATCTCTCGAGTATTTCATGCCTGCGCGTTCTGGTCCCAATGGATGATGAGCCTGCTGGGAGAGAGTGAAGGCGATGCGAAAGATCTGGAAGCCAGTTCTGATATGGATCGTGATCGCCAAGAAGCAGATGGATAAAGGAAACACGTGGTCATGATTGAGAACCCGTGGCAGTCCGAGGCATGGCGATGATTGAGTGCGTTGCATGGCTACGGAAGCGTATGCTTTGTGGCGAGGTCTGTCAACTGCAGGAAAACCCTAAAACACACACATTTATATTTTGCAAGGTGTTGCCTAAACTTTCTTTCACCTAGGAGAAGAAACTATTTAGTAGTAACGCTGCTGCCCCGGTAACTGTCAAGAACCTGTTTTTTGCATTTGCCCTCGCTTGCCTGAGCCATGGATCTTTGTCCACTAAGAACAGTTAAGAGAAATTGTTTTTACTTCTCAGGATCCTGGGACTACGTTGGGGTCCTCTATTCTGAAACGGTCAACAAGCGCAAGCCTTCTTTCATGGCAAGCAGTTGCCAAACCCAAGCCTTAGATCTAGGAATGCCAGTTTTGCAAGTGGCCCCTTAACCAATCTCTACAACAAAAGCCCTTATTCAAAAAGAACAGCGGCAAAAACAAGGCCAAGCTGTCACACAAAGGGGGTTTGCCCGCAGGAGCCCCTGATCCTCTTTAATCTGACTGTTTTGGTGCCCTCTTTAATATCAAGTTTGTTTGGAGAGAAATTCCAGACTTGCAGGTGCTCCTCCAACCATCAATCTTTACAACAAATTCCCATATTTAAAAAAAGGACAGCTGCGGGGAGGAAATGCTCAAGCATGCTGGAGTGAAACACGTGCAAGCGTGATGCAACTGGCAGGCTGCTCATGACACCACCAAATGACACGCAGAAAAAGCGGAGACAAATGAATGGTACATCCTTGCCTGCAAGCAAGCTCTTGCCTCAGTCACGGTGACGGAGTCGCAGCTGAGGCCTTCCAGCATCATCCAGCGAGCAAAGCCGTCTGGCAGAAGGGGCCCCAGCTCACGGTAGCTCCAATTCAAACTTCTTGACATTTTGGCATTCTTATCTCAATATAGATATTATTAGTGTTTCGATCTAATTACCAACATTTCAAGAAAATGTCCGAACCCAAATTTCAGGAACGCCCCCTTCGTAAGTATCGTCCCTGGGCCCAACAGGCCTGCTGCAAACGCGCGTAGCCTCTTAGAGACGTTGTATAGTAGTGCGGGGAATAAGAAGTGAAGATATCGCGGAAGTGTCCAAACTGTTGATGCGCGTAGGCCACGCAAATCTGAATGTGTTGAACATAAGCATGGGCGTAGATCACAAGCTTTGTCTGTGCAAACCACGTGCATTTTAGAGGATATCATTTCCGATTGGTGATCAGGAGGCCACTTGGGCCTCACTTGTTTTTGTCAAAGAATAAGCGGTACCACAACGCATGATGTACACGTACGCCTTGAGGGCACACGAAGACGAAGTGCCTTTTTTCGTGATTCGTGCGTCCTCTAAGCTTCTAAGGTTGCGCATGCCAGCGGCTGCCCCAGTGTGCCAAATTGCACTGCCATCTCGCTCAGTAAGGTGGTCCATCTGCTCCGCCTCGCGCAGAGAACATTTGCAAGCCAAGGCTACAAATTCCCTGCGCCCGAATTGTCATTAAAATGGATGCAGATTGAACGAAGGATTGCAGAATCCTAGCAACGCATGCCACTAATTGATCGCCGTTCGGCCCGTTGCATCCTCCCAGTTCCTGCAACAATGCGGCAAAGAACTTCTTCACTCAGCTTTCAAGCAGTCCCGCCCAGGGACGGCCCTATTATTACGATCATTCGGCTTTGCCTTCGCCACCAGCCGGTCGGTCAAAGCCTCGAGGCTTGGTCCCTCTCGCCATGCGAGCTGCCAATCCTGCCTGCTGGAGCTCCATTACCAAAGTTGGGGGTCCTCTGTCAAATGTACAAAACTGCCCCATCGAACTCCCGCGCCCCGCTCCTCCCAGGCGATCGTGAGCCGCTGCGGCTTCCACGACTTCGGACGCGCCTTCGCGGAGGTGAGGGTGACCTTGGCAGATTGGAAGCAAAATGCGAATGGCATGTCCGAAACATGAATTACCATTTGCGCCGATGAATTGGAACTTGCTCACCCGTGTTCCGAGCGCACGGCTCATCCTGTTCAAAAAGCTGACGGCGTCTTTCAGCTGACATGATGCCCCTGAAGGTCAGGCTGTCAGGGAGCACCCCGCAATGTGGGCACCGCGGCAACTCGAATATGCCACTCAAAACATGCTATGTGGCATGGGCATCCGGTCCTCGGCGCGTCACCCTTGCCGCCTTTGCCTGCGCTTTGAGCAGGCTTGCGCAACAAACGTTCGATTTCGAAGCGCCACCAACATGCCGTGCATTAAGGGAGGCCTTTGTCTCCACCTTTACATCCGCCACCACCGCCACTAACAGTGCCACAGCCGCCGCCGCCACCGCCACCACCCTGGACCTGCAACCAGGAAAGCAGTGACCAACTCTCACAATGTCATCTCACGCTCTGCCTGCACGTTCTTGGCGCAGCTCTTGCCCTGAACGCCATAATGCCAGACATCATGAAACTACAGCCAAGAAGCAATGTGCTCAACGCGACAGTGCCTTGCGCTCATCAAACTCAATGTCAAAACTGACACGGTCTCCAGGTCCAAGGGTGGAGTCTCCTCCACGCTGGTAATTGCCTAAGCCGACATATTGCATTTATTGGATTGGACATGTTAAGCATCATTGGAACCACTGCGCGCAGGGGTTGAAACTTATCTGTTAAGCTAGGTGAATTATGCTGTCGGCGCATGGAGCGCAGGATGCCAGACAAGTCTTGGCAGCCGTGACCAGCGCTCAGCGCCAGGCGGGGCAAAGATGAGAAATGCACAAACCTGGCTGCAACTTCAATCCAATCGACACATCGCAAAGCGGGCTATGCACGGACACACCTGAACAGGAAAACGACTTGCAGCTGGCAGTTAGGCTGCCCCCTCTACCACGCATCTGTTCAAGAGTCCGTGCACCTTAAAGCAGGAATTCCCCCAGTTCGACTTTGTGCAGGTATGTTTGGGATTGCCCCAGCCTTCCACTTGGATTCCAAAGCCCATCTCGTCCGTTTGCCCCACTTTCCCATCTTTCCGGCGAGGGGCAGGTCAGACTCACCGCCGTCTGGCGTGATGAAGCCGAAGCCCTTCTCTGAGTCCCAGTTTTTCACCTTGGGGAACTGAATTTGAACTGAATTGTTGCCTCGGTCGGCAAGTCAGACCCCTTAGATCATCCAAACTTAAGGCATGAGGATATAACCCCCATCCAATCTTCCTTCCGACAAACACGACCCACATCGCGCGGCCCAAAAGGCAGTCAGACACTTCTTAAAATCATCGCTGCAACAAAGACGCGCCTTGCGTCGGAGACCCCTTCAAAGCAAGCTGAAACCGCAAGGCGGGCAGCGCGAAGCGTTTAGAATAAGTACAGATAAACGAGCTGAGCAAGCACGAGATTGATCTAGCTTGGCTTGAAGTTGGCTTGAAGGGCAGGCAGGGTGAAGAAAGGATTGGCGGGGCTGGGTGTCAAGGGACGCTGGCGCAAAAGAAGTGCGGACGCTGACGCTGCGGAGGCAAAAAACTAGACAATCAAGTTCGGCCCGCACACAACTCTACAGTTCGGCTTTGAAGCACCCTGCTGTTGCCAACCCCAACAGGGAGCCTGGCGGAACAACACGAGTCATACATTGAAAGCGGCTTACAGCAGTTTGTCCGGCCTGACATGCCTGACTTCGCAATCGTCCACCGACATAAAGCGAAGAAATTGCATCGTGCGCAAGTCAACACGAGCGTTTTGCCAACGCTCTGGTCAACACAATTAACAAAAAACAACTGGCGGCAGGCGCTTTCTTGACAAATTTCCGTCAAAGTGTGGTCATGTACAAGGGCTGAATGGGATGCCTTCATCTGCATCTGTCCTGCGCCTCATCCCAGGAAAATTGTGTTTGAGTTGGACCTGGTCCTCTGACCTAGGCCTGGAGCAGGGGGCGCACAAAAAAAGAACCCGCCGCGGGTGAAGCCATTCTGAGATGTGGCAACGCCGGTGTGAGCATGGAAAACAGCGCCAAGCTGCACTGCCTTGTCCCCGGCCCCCACCGCCGCCGCCACCGCCGCCACCGCCACCGCCATCACGCGCAGAGCCTTGCGAAGAGGTGCAAGAGGCTGCAGCCCACGCCTGCTGTAACAGTTGCCAGTCCCAGCACTTGTCCCACCATCTTAAGCCCATTTATTTCAGTCAAACTTCTGCTAGTTCTGTTCCCCTCCAACCCATTCTGTTTCGCGCGCCTTCCACCTGAACATTCTTGGCGCATGGCTTGCCCTGGCGCGTGCCAAGTCGTGTCCGGAGTGGCCCAACGCATGTGAGCCTTCTTCGGATCAATTTCCTGGTCGTAAGCCACCTCAGCGCAAGAGAGACCTGAAAGCTATTGTTACGGATCACCACGTGTTTTAAGCTGGTCAAAGCCTAAGCTGAGCCCTCAACTTTGTCGCCAGGTTTGAGCACGCTGCTTCCACCACGTTGGTACTCACGTGGTAGGTTGGAGAAGTGCACAAACACGTCCTTCGACGCCACGTGTGACATAAGGGCGCGCGGAATCCGATGAAGGACACATGCTCTGGGCGATTTGGTCCTGGTGGTGCTGAGATCAGTGATTGTAGTTGCCCAGATGGGTCGCAGAGTGAATTGCTAGATCGCAGGTAGCAAGAATGTGTTGTCATGTAACGAACTCAAGACGCCCATTCCAATACAAATCCGCATTCCATGCCACCCGGCCAAGCGGCCAAAATAACTCTCTCACACAGAGTGCTCCAGTTCGGCAAGACTACGGCGCCAGAGCCCAGGCGCCAGCGTGCTGGAAGACTTCTGCAACACCACCCTGCTGCAGCACCCTGCAAAAGCACCCGCTGCTGCAGGCTGCAACAGCACCGCAACTCGGAGCCTTGGCTTGCAGCAACCTGCAACAGCGCCCCGCGCAGCTCCGAGTCTCGGCCTGCAGTAGCACCCTGCAACAGCACCCTGCAACAGCACCCGGCGTAACTCTGAGTTTGGCCTGCACAGCACCCTGCAACAGCAACCTGCGCAACCCTGACTCTAGCACTCAACAGCAGCGCCCTGCCCCCATGGCTTGACGCTATCTGAAAAAAACAGATCTAAGATAAATCCCCGCGGCTATTAAAGCCACTTGTGACGCAGGTAGCCCAATCCTTTTTGGAGCGGCGATAAGCTGAGAAGCACGCCTTGTAGTTTCAACTTGCGCAGGGGTGCCAGGGAGAACTGAACTCTAGAGGACAGCATTGCGTGGGTGCATTGTCCCCGCCTCGCTGCCCCGCTCTGGCTTGATGAAGCCGAAGCCCTTCTCCTCGTCGTACC